GTATTTTACAAAGTGAAGATTATGTATCCAATATATGGGTTACTTATAATTGCCGATCCATTGGCATTGGTCAACTAAATCGAAACTAACTACATTTTAGGCCTATTAGTATAATTAACTGGCTTCGGGTTGTGTGACGTTTTAATTAATTTACTTTGTAATATATCGATTCTTCCAAAAGTGTTGGTAAAAGTTTGATTTGTTAATATATGATAAGAAATGTAGCAAAAACGCGTACTGTACATTATAGCGAATCGCGGCAGTCGCTACTAAACTCTTTTGTGTATATTTTATATATAAAAAGTCTAAATCTTTCTAAGTTTAGTTTTATATTTAAATTCTAAATTTTAGGGCAATTGTTTTTGGTGCCTTTTCTTTACTATTGTTTTTTGTTTTGGATTGATAGCTGTACGTGTTGTAATAAATTAATAAACTGTAAGTACATTAACTCACTCTTTGTTAGCACATGGTTAGCACTCACCCGAACCCATTGATACAGTCGCTACATATTTGGGGCCTGTATGGCCCAAGGGCAGAGTACTCCAACTCTATCCTGGTAGAAACGGTGAGGTCAAGGACACAGATGTGGCGCCTCGCGGCGGCACGCATCGTCGTCCTCTAAAGAAATTAATTAGGATGCCTATACACTCTGTTGTATATATTTTACATAGTCTTTTTAAGTTTAGTTTTATATTTAAATTCAACATTTAAATTTAATTGTTTTTGGCGCCTTTTCTTTACTATTCTTTTCTGTTTTGGATTAAAAACAATAATAATAACGCACACACTCTACATAGCCCCGCACTAGGGAAACCCTGTGTCGCGGGTGCCATGGACAACACATAGACAACCACAAGTTACACTCAAACTCACGAGAGAAATAAATGTAGGCCATACAAATATTTCTTCCGGCCCGAACCTGGAACCTCTGCGTGGCAGCCCGGCATGGTAACAGTTCGGCCACAGAGGTAGTTAAATAGCTGATATAGATAGAATATATTGATAGCTGTACTTGTTGTAATAAATTAATAAATTGCAAGTACATTTATTTAGGTCCTGCTCACTCTTTGTTAGCACCCACCTAAACCCATTGATACAGTCCGTTACAGTACATTATTAATAAGCAAATACTTATAACTGCTATTAGAGTTACTTTTGTTTCAGCTTTGCAACGAGAATGTCGAACTCGCCAATAAGTGTACATGGACTGGCCAAGTGGATTATGAAGCCCTGGATAGACAAGTAGTCCCACCTCACAGGGCACAATCCGAGCTTAGCTCAACTTATAATGTTGGATGTTCAAGGTGGGAGTGTTACACACAAAAAGGCGTAGGAGCGATAGGAATATTTTATACCTGTTATTGCTGTTTTGCATTGCAACGAGAATATCTGACTGACTTCTAAAACGCGGGCACAGATTGTGAAGACCCAGAACGAACTTTTGGTACCACCTCACAGTACTCAATCTGAGTTCAGCATAGCCAAGGATATTTGTTATCCGAGTTGAGTGCATTTACTTCATTTATACATACACCTTAATTTGTACGTACCAATATGTATGATATATTATGAAAGGAGATAACTTTTTACAGATATATTACACAATAAATAGTTCTAAAATATTTCTATCGAAATTATTCAATTATGTTACTGATTACTACAATTATCCAAAGATTATTTGTGTAATTAATGAATAGGTTTTGGCAGGGTGTGAGCGGACAGTATCGTAGTAGATTACCGTCTCCATGCGCAATCATCTTGTTTGTGAATTAAAAATTTTATGATTGTTTAATTATTGCGAATGGAAAGCTCGCTGGAGGAGCTTAAAGGCTCTCTCTCATTTGTATATTAATGTAAATTTATATAGTAATGTACTGTGTGTTAATGCCTTAATAATACGAGTATTTTCCTCCTAATATTTACTCTACACTTTTGATTACAATTTTTGGTTTACATTTTTTAAAGTTTAGTTGCAGCGTGTACACGCTGTTTTAACCGACCTTTGACTCTTCGTAAATCTTTTTCCACATGTAGGTCACGACGTTCTATTCCACCTTTATGCTGAGGCCGCAGTACAAATACGAGGCAATGCGTACCCAAGTATTTTTGCGGTGATCAGTGAACATACTAGCGGCTTTGTAATCTTTTCCAGACGTATCTTTACTTCGACGTGTGTGCTAGCAATAACTATTTTATGGTGGAGATTCTTCGGAGCTAATATAAGGAACTCAGCCTCAAAATTGTGTAAAAACTTCAACACCATTTCGTCGTTCCACACCATTAGGTATTTAGAGACAGACGTCTAATCAGTCCGAGAACAACGGTCAAAATAAACAACGCCAGTCCGACCACGCAGCACGATATTTAGCGTAATTGCTAACTCTTTGTTAAACCGCCATCGAAGCGATAACTTGTACGCACCTCGAATATTCGCGCCGATAGCCGAAAATGGTTGGTTACACCTGCGTGTATCGTATCATTGTGCGATGCTTCGTGACAAATGTAAAAAATGTTCTTAAATAAAATATTAAAAATTTTCATTGAAATCTACGTCGTTTACAATATCGAAAAAGGATAGTTTGTATCCTTCAGTGTATTGGACCGTGCATACGATATAACTCTTTGTGATTCAGCAAGTATTGGCTTTGTAGATATTTTTAGATGTAGAGAAGCTATTGAATTCGTATATAATACATTGTGTTATTAGTTAATAGCAAAACAATGTTCGTCAATTTCGCAGCATATTTGAATATATGCATAAATTTATTTTACATGATTCTTTCATAATGAAAAATGGGTTTCCCATGGCAACAAAAATACATTCCATTAACTTCGACATGCAAAAACCCTAATTACTCTATCATTTATCACAAAAAAAAAATCAGCCGACCCCTTTTATGAACTACCAAAAGTCCCTTCCATAATAATAAACTTATGTTCCATAACTTAATTCGCCACGTCACTTGTGTAAAGTATCCAAACGTGTTTTAAGTGAACGTGTGAACGTGTAACTTGTAAAAAATGGGCTGAATTTGCGCTACTTAAAAGCGTATCAATCAATTCTGACTATGGCAGCGCCCGCATCATACATTATCAAACGTACGACTTGGAAACCTTCCACGTTATAACTTACATTGTGTTTTTTATACTAGATGAGACATCATATACTTGACATTAAAAGAAAAAACTGTTCAAATTTATACTCAAGCCACGCGGAATGCCTAAAACATCTGAGCTAGCATGTTCGTCCTTGTTTTTTTGGAAGAGAACCTATATTAATCAAGCATTACGGTCTCTGGAGAAGGTTTAGGTCATAATCCGCTTAGAGATTTGCGAGATTTGCATACCTAATGTTTGACCCGGGTACAGAGAAACTACACTTATTTTGTGACTGTCAACTTATGTACAACCGGCAAATAAATGAGTCATGAAATGAGAAAGATTCGCCTCAGAATAACCAATAGGTACTTACGCATCATCATCGTGGCAATGTGCGTAATTATTGCATATTAACCACCTATTACGCCTTATCTAGCACAAAACAGTGTCTTGTTATATGAATAATCTTGCAAGTTTACGCTTGCGGCTGCCAAAATTCTTTTCCTTCGTGTTTTAGTTACAAGCTGATGTTAAGATGATACAAAATTTACATAATATATTGAAATCCGTAATTGGTGGAAGGGCTAATAGATTACTCAAGTAGCTAGTACGGGTATAATATTACGAGTCGATTTTTATGAAGGTCGATTCAAGTGTATACTCTATCTCGCTATCTTTTTATCGATTCGATTCATTTCATAACATTAATGCGAACCCCTACAGAATCGTAAAATTAAACCTATTTTATATTGATCTGCAAGAAAAGTAGTTTAGAAACATGTAAGTACAATAATTCTACGATATTTGGCGATTATTGCTACTTTTGTGCCACCTGAACATTTATTTTTAATGATATATTATCACTCTAAATTAAAGTCGTAAATTGGTCGTAACCAACTGAGATCAGAAAGGTTTAAAAAGTAAAAAAAATATGTTTTTATTATTATGGCAATTTAAAAAAATAATATAGAAGAGGTGTTTTATTACATTTGAATCTATTTCGGATTTTTTGAAATAGATTCGATCTGTGGATTGATTCAGAGGTATTATTATGATCCAGTACGATCCACAAAAATGATTTAAAGGGAAAAATCGACCCTACTAGTACACCCTCATTATCTAGCAAAAGTAACATGACTTGTCGATGCAGTGCCGTAAACATTTTATTTCCTATTTTTTATTTTGTGATTCGTAACCGTGTCATCAGCGTCAATTCCCGGCGGGGCAGATTTAAAAAGTATTCTTATGACCTGTCCCAAATGATGAGCACAGGTTGTATATGCTTCATTTGAACGAGGAATTTGGGAAAATCTTGCATAAAAAACAAAAATAGTACATCGCGTTTCAAAACCGCAAATTTTGGGCTTATGTCACCTAGCAATAAACTTGGGAACTACATTGTTGTATTACAAATTTATAGACTTTTTTAAACAATTCTTTGTTTATTGCTTTGAAGTTGTTTTGTTTATAGTGCTTATATTTGTGTGTGGTGGTCGTGATGATAACTCTGGTGAAGCACCACAGGGGGCTACATCCATGTAGGAATGGACGTTATAGGACATTCGAAAATTAAAGCATCATTACTTTGTATAAAAACTTTGCACTTGGGATGTCTTTCTCGATATCGAGCGCTCGGAATGCGAAAACAAGAAACAATAGAATGCAAAACTTCAGTTTTAATTTAAATACCTAAATATCGTCAGAATAAACGAATGGAGAGACAGAGAGAGAGAGAATAGCATAGCAAAAACCACACGGCCTCTATTTATGTGACCGACCAAGATAATAAGTAATACTGTCTATTTGTTTAGATATTGTGCATGTTCCTAAATTATATGAATTCCTTAATAGAAACCATCGCGATTCTTGTGCCATATTCTGACATAATTTGCATTGAACTGTTGTTTAATTTTTTTATCAATGGCTCCAAATCTTACATCAAATCCTTTAGAGAAGCACTTAAGTGCTCTAACGTGCTATCACTATTATGTTTTTGTCTTAATTTTCATCGCCAAATGGCCCTTGGTCTGGCATGCCCTTAGTTTGATATTCCTCTCACCACCGATGGATTTTTACTGTGAAGGTACAGCAATGCTTTTATAATATTAATATTACATTTGGAATTCGAGGAAGTAACGTAAGTTTCTAACAGTTTAATTTATTACTTTACAATTTTTTATTTTGTTCTATAGGTATTGACAATAAAGAAAACTTCAACAAATGCCCCTGTGACAAACCTTGGTTTGACCAAAGTGTATTTGAAGCAACGATGCAAACAAAATTTATGTTGTACTGCGATAGAAGTTGGCTCATCGCTTTTTCACATTGCATATGCAATACTGGTGTTTTGGTGGGAAGTCTCACATTTGGTTACCTTTCTGACAAGTATGTGTGAACATTTCGATGATTAAAAAAAAACATTACACCTAATCAGAAATTGACAGTTGTTATTATCACATAATAATCACTAAAAGGCCGAAGTATTTTGCTATAGCATATCATTAATTATGATGTTTCAGATACGGCCGACTCACAACATTTTCAGCCTCTTGCCTAACAATTGCTATTAGCGGGAGTCTGGTGACAGTCATGCCTACAATTACCGCGTTCACTTGCATGAGGTTTTTCGAAGGAATGGGCATTGGTGGTAGCATCGTGACATCATTCGTCTTGTGCGTGGAATACTCAGCAACAGTCCACAGGGAATACATCACCGCCTTATTCCATCTCCCTCTAAACTTGGGCCACATAAGTATGGTTGGGGTCTCATATCTTTTAAGAGACTTCGATAATTTCCAACTTGCTATTTCTTTACCAATCTTTTTGTTGGTACCGCTAAGATGGCTAATGATGGAATCCCCCAAGTGGCTTTTGGATAACGCCAAATTAACAGCATTATCAACTGGTTTGGAAAAGTTTAATCGTCAGTTAGTATTTCCTTTATTTAAACTGATCTTTTGAAATTGATAATTGTATGCTTCCTTATTATAAATTAATATATTATGTCGAGTTCTTAAGTATTCGCGATAGTTACACATCGGAAATGAAACTACTTTGCCGATTTTAAATCGCGTATATTTGTTTTTTCAAACAAACCGATGTTTCGGGCCCTTTACAGGTTGACCATGGAACCTGGTTGACTAAGGTGGTACAGTCATCAACCAGTTATGTCTAATATTAATGCAAATCACCCTATTTTGTCACTATAATTACAAAAGTTAGTAATTAAATACCTTATTTTTAATTTTACAAAGAAAACATTCAAATTTACGCTACATTACGTTTTGCAAATTATTTTATTGAATGAATTTTTATTTAGTTCAATTTATTATTAATTAACAATAGAAATTAGAATAAATTAAAACATATTAATTAGTACTGCAGTCTTATATCTCTTTAGGATTTTTCATCGGAGGAAATACTGGATCCCAAACTGGTGGTACGGAGAAACCATCTTCCCTGTTGAAATTAGGCTTTCAAAGAACAAGAACATATAGCTGATGTCAAAACACCGTCGCGTAAACAAGTCTGCAGTCTGCGAGCATGTCATGGATAAACCTACACATTCAAAGAACTTTGACAAACCACAGGTCCTGCAAAAGAAGTCCGTTATCTACCCAGGATGCTGCGAGAGGCTATTGAAATTAAAAAACACCCTAATTTCAACAGGGAAGATGGTTTCTCCGTACCACCAGTTTGGGATCCAGTATTTCCTCTGATGAAAAATCCTAAACAGACATAAGACAGCAGTACTAATTAATATGTTTTAATTTATTCTAATGTCTATTATTACTTATTAATAAATTGAACTTAATAAAAATTCATTAATAAAATAATTTGTAAAACGTAATGTAGCATAAATTGGAATGTTTTCTTTGTAAAATTAAAAATAAGGTATTTGATTAGTAACTTTTGTAACTATAGTGAAAATAGGGTGGTTTGCATTAATATTAAAGGGCCCGAAACGTCGGTTTGTTTGAAAAAACAAATATACGCGATTTAAATCCGGAAAAATAGTTTCATTTCCTAATATATTATTATTTTAATGCGTGCAATTTCTACGATTCGTCAGTTTTGTCAACGACTGCATTCGTTTCAGGCGTTCAAGTACAAGCATCAAAGAGGAATTCGAACAATACCTCCAAACGGGAACGTTGAACACTACTGCAAAAACTGTTACGTGTTTTGAAATATTTAAACATAAAAAAGTCGTAGTCAATTTCTCATGCATGGCCATTATATATTTTGTATGTGGCATGGGTTACTATGGGGTGTCACAGTTCATCGGAGAAATGAGTGGTGATATACATTTAAACGTTTTTATTTCTGGCGTTTCGTTGGTACCAGGAACTATATTGTGCATGTTTTTATTAAAATTATTGGGAAGAAGACCCTTATTAATGATGGCATTGCTATGTTCTGGCATTTTCATGATCTGTGTCATATTAATTCCTGAAACCTACGTGTGGCATAGAGTCGTGTTCGCCTGCATCTGTAATGCTTTCTTCTTCATGGCTTTTATCGTTAGCTTTTTGTACGGCGTGGAGATGTTTCCAACTAGTATTAGGAATTCTGTTCTAGGATCGTTGTCAATGGTCTCGAGAGTTGGACAAATAGCAGCACCACCTATTAATTCTCTTTCTGAATTTACTGCTGCCATATTCTTTGGCATAATGGCTATAGTAGGTGGTGCCCTTTGTTTTCTGTTGCCTGAAACAAAAGGTATCGAACTGCCATCAACTCTCGAAGAAACGAGACGGATATCAAAGAAAAAAGGAGACTCTGATGGACCCCTCAGGATGGTGAGCCCAAAAGCAAAAAATGGGGGCTGATACAAAATATACTACCATTTACAATAGTAATTTATTAATATAATCAAAGCCCTATTAAAATTTTGAAGCTGGTGTTAAATAAATTTGTCAGTAGCTTCAGCAAAAGGCGAAGAGCCAAATAATTACTGTGACCACTATTATTTTTTCTAATTGTCAAATAATGCGTTTGTCGTGAAATCTGTATTTTAGTCATATTGTGAACACAAATAAATTATTAATATCGGAATTTTCTTTTTTAACAAGTTTACCATATTTGGCTATCCTAAGACTAACAAAGTTAAAACTTATTGTACAATATTCTGTGGCTATAGCCTTCATTTCTACTAGTGGTGCATCGTATATCACATTAATAAGGTAGTGCCTTATATTCAACATTGGTGCCAACCGTGACGCCATGTCAATTAATGATGATTTATTTTTAGAAGTAAACTGCTGCGTATCGCTTGTTTTCACAATTACAATCGACACTAAAATAGCGAGAATTCTTAATAATCTTTCGAATTATAGGCAACTTTCAGTTTTAATATTAGCAAACATGTAAATTACATAATAAATCAATTTTCTGTTAGGGTACTTATATATATAATAATTAATAACTTAAAAATAGGAAATTAGCCAAGTTACAAATTTAACATAATAATAATATATAACGTATCTTTATAAATACGTACTTGCGCAGTACAATTATGGCAGCTATCTGATACGTTGCTAAGGTATCCGCCCTACGTGAAGCGACTGTGGTGCAATGTGCCATTCAAGTAATTCACAGTAAAACAAAGGCCCACCACGACATTGTTATTTTCAATAAGCTATATTCCAGGGATAATGAAAAAAGTTTTTATTACCACAATACCCAACCCTAGTCGCTATAACGCCAACTTGAAGCTATAAGTGGAAAGTAGGAATAATGTCAAATTTAACTTGCACAATGGAGTTTTTCGTATGGTTTCTAGGGTTCCGTAACTAAGAAACCTTGCAACATCAATCAGTTCATCTTTTTATTCGTCCATCTCTAGATCACAAGCCGTAGTAGCCTAATGGTTTGGCCTACCGTCTGTCAAGCAGAAGCCATGGGTTCTAATCCAAAAAAAAAACCTGGACGTCGAAGAAGATTCACAACATTCGGAAAACGTGGGAAGTCCCCAATTCACATTGGGCCAGCTTGGTCGAATATGGCCTAAACTCTCGCCTAAGGGGAGGCCCGTGTCCAGCAGTGGGACATAGAAATGGGTTGATAGTGACATAAATTACAAAAAGTTTGAATTGATGACCAACCAAATTAAAACCACCAAAAAATGAAAACAATAATAAAAATGCGTGTGCATATAATATTCTACGTAGTTTATGGTGGAAAAATCTATTTTCATTAACTCTATGTAAGTAGAGTACTATGTCATGAATTTTGTTATTAATAATAACAATATGTTAATAATAATAAGACTTTCGTGGTTATTCACTAAATGATTATCACTAATATGAGGTTTCTTACCACAGTATGACTTCTTTTTATTTTCCCGATATTTCGGTTGCACGCTCCATGGTCACGGGTTGACTGACTGAGCGTGCAACCGTTCCGAAATATCGGGAAAATAAAAAGAAGTGATATCGTGGTAAGAAACCTGATATTAGTGATAATCATTTAATATGTTAATGATTTAAAAGTTCAAATACAGACATGTTAACGTTTGATAATTGATTGATTAGGTACAGGTTTGTTTTTGTTTGAGGTTAACCAACAACAATGCTATATATTAAGTAATAGTATCTCGTAAATGTGATTTTACGTAACCAACACGCTCTTTACGAGAATTTTATGATAAAATTGGCTTCTTAATGGATGTATAAAAGAGAAATCTTGGCATTGTGAGTTTTCATTCAGAAAGTTTTTATATCTCTACTTTAAGAGATAACCTTCATACCATATTCATTTGTTTTCATGGTAGATTTGTCTAACATATTTAATTACAGCACTAGTATTAAAAAGGTGCTTTTGACCAACGCTCTGCCCTCTGCGTTTACGAATGAGTAGGAGAGTTTAATCAATGTGACGATTTCAAGTGTAATTTGCTTGCCCATGAAACAAAGATTATTTGAGTTTAAGAGTCGTATTCTAGAACTCTACTCAATGCTCAAGTCAAGATTTGAGTATGATTCAAAGCACTAGAAATCATACTCAAGTCCTTGCCATTAGGGTCGTATTTCCAGTGCTTGAAATCATACTCAAGTCTGCTCAA